TAAAAATATCCAATTGAAATCCGCGTATCTAGAGACGCGTATGGCCGCAGGGAGGATGGGAAGAAGTCGTGTGGGTCCGTACGGGGTGGCGGGAAGTCACGAGTGGGGATGACGGACAGGTATGTCGCTGACATCGGGGGGAGTTGTGGAGTAGTAGAGATGAGAAATAAATCCCGTTGTTGAACAGTTCAACCCGTATGGCGCTATGACCGCCGTAACCCGGCGAGGCGGTTCCATACAGATTATAGTGCACCCGAACATTTCGGCACGTATGCTCGTCCGTCAGTGATTTCGATCCTTGTGGCTGAGGTGCCGCTTCTCGTACGTTATGGTTGTTAGCTCATTGGGATTCGGAATCAAATGAATATACGAAGATCTTGAGATTACAAGCAAATATAATGATGTGGCAACTAAGGCAAATAATAACACTAGGCAGAACATTTACCCCAGGACAAACAATTCGATGACTCAACATCCTGTAGGCAACATGTGAGGTCACCGAACCGACATGCAATGCTTATTTTGTTGTACAATAAATTTAGCGCGTTGGCGCCAGATTAACGAAATTTAGAACGTGATTTCAATTAGACATTTCTTAGCTAATGTAGGCAGTGATATTGGACAAATGCTAATACCGCGTTATGGCCTATTAAGGTAATGTACTTTAGTTAACTAACACAAGGTGCGCCAGTTTACTGTAGCATTCGTCACCTTTGCATAATCGATGGAATATTATGCCTTTAAACTATTATGCCGTTATGCGTTGCATGTCGTAAGAATAAGTCCATAAAAATTGTTACGAATGGTCGTAGAAAAGCCACGCCGTATTAAGTGTGCGCCAGCTGCTGAATTTTTCCGCTTTGGCCACACTTTATTTTGATTACGTAGGCGATAATGCTGACATTTTTCCACGTGCCACATCTTATTTCTGATTACGTGCAATAAATGCCTGAATTTTCTCCGTTGGCCACACTTATTTTGAGTTACGTGGCAGATAATGCCTCGAATTTTTCCCATTGGCCACACTTATTTTGATTACGTGCGGATAATTGCTTGATTTTGTTCCTTGCCCGCAAACCTTATAAGTGTGGCCAGCAACGGGCGTCGGAACTGCCAGCGGCACTTTTTTCAGGGCCATAAGATTTTCCGTAGACCAAAAGAACTATTTCATAATTTATACCGTCTTTTCGGCTGTCATATATCATGCAGGCCCGCGTAGTCCAGGGGGGGTTCGGGGGTTCGAAACGAAACCCCCCCCGGCCCCAGCCAAAAATTTTTTTTTTTTTAATCTTGCAAAAGAATTCACTCAGGGTCGCTCTAATTTTAAGTGTAATAATTGCAAAATCTGGCCATCGTGTGGGAGCGTGAACAGTGAACACGTCCCCCCTCCGCACCCTCACCGCCCGCTCGCCTGTCGCCATTGGCTCCCGTCGCCTGGTCGCTTTCCGCGCCTGAGCAGGGGCGTGTACAGGGGGGTCCTGCAGGGAGTCCGGAGCCGCCACCTTGCCTCGCGCAGAAAACGCATCTGAGGGGGTGTAATTTTAAAAAATTTCTGGGGGAGGGCCCGCCAACCCGCCCCTTCCGCGTGCTCGCAACTTCGGGTTACGGTTAGACCCCCCCCTGGTAGCAAATCCTGTACACGCCCACTGCCGAGCAAATTGCCAACATTGAAAAACGAACCCCGCCCCCAATACACAAGCTGGCTACGGGCCTGTCATGTATATACGTGTAATCTAGGCCCCTATAAGCGGAAGACCAGGGTCAGATGAGTCAGGTCACCTGTAGCTATACAATTTTATGATCCAGAACTCATGGCACACATTCCTCTGCTTCCCGTGTACTCGTGATTCTATGCAGGCAGCATGCCGTTGCGTTATATTGAGGGGAGCATGCTTTGCCCGGGGTCAGCGCGCGTTTTCATGATGAATATAAAACAGTTCGTTTGTGAGCACCAGTACAATTGTATGCATGTCTTGAATGGGAATGTATTTTCAGGAAGTTTTACCAAAGTATTCCACCTGTTAAAGCGAGAAAAATAAATTGGAGTTTTTTGGTCATTATTTAATATTTTAATTCTGTTAAGCAACAAATCTTCAAATCATCATGTATTTTTCTAAAATTACAGTGAAACAGCACTTTTTGTGCTAAAGTCACAATGCTCAGAAATGTACCAGAGCCCACCATTTGCCCTTGTAGATTTCAAAATTTTCACGGGGGGGGGGCATGCCCCAACCCCCCAGGGTGGCTGCGCCTCCCCGGGGGCTCGCCGCTATCAACCAAAGCCGCAGCACTAATAATATTGCTTCCAAACGCCTTTGGTGGCCAGTGCTGAATTTTTCCCTTGGCCACACTTATTTTGATTACGTGCGGATAAGCTGATTTTTCCCTTGGCCCCACTTTTAAGTGTGGCCAGTGGCTGAGATTTTTCCCTTGGCCACACTTATTTTGATTATGTGCGGATAAATGCTGAATTTTTCACTTGGCCCCACTTTAAGGTGCCAGTTATTGTAGCATTCGTTAAAATTGCATAATCAATGGTCATCTTATGCCTTTAATAGTAATTTAATGCTAGTCTAGTGAGTCGCCTATGCCTACTCCCTAACCCCAACCCTAACACTAACCCCTACCCTAACACTAACTATAAACCGACTCGGCTTTCTTATATACGCGTGTCATAGTACAAAAATTAATCAATGGTGTATACTGACATACGCAACGCATGCGCGTTGTATGATCAAAAAAAGTGTGGCCAAGGGAAAAATTCAGCATTATCCGCACGTAATCAAAATAAGTGTGGCCTAGAGAAAAATTCAGCACTGGCCACACTTATAAGTGCGAATAGTCACTTCCTTCAATAATGTAACCCAACAAGAGTAGGAATCTAGTGTGGAAAAAAGTAGGACATATGTTCAGAGACTGGAAATGTGTGAAAAAGGGGGTCTCCGGAATGGGAAATATGTGAAAAGGGGGGTCTCCGGAGCGGAAATTTTGAGGTGAAAACGGGGGGGGGGGCTTGTAACTGCAGGGGTGTCACTTTCCCCTGGCGTAGAGGGAGGGTGTCGCTATGTGGCAGCACTAGTCACTTCGTACACTTCCGTCATTCCACAGTCATACTTCCATGCTGGACATGGCCTTATTTCCCTAACTCTAACCCTAACCCTAACTCTAACCCTGACCCTAACCCTAATCCTAACACTAGTGCTGCCACGTAGCGGCACCCTCCCTCTACACCCGGGGGAAAGTGACACCGCTCAGCACATACATACCATGAAATCTATAGGGAGTGCCCTCTTTGGGTGTTCAACACGAGTAAATATACTCTGCGCTGCAGGTCTACTTGGTCATATTTACTGTAATTCGTGTCGCATCATTGGTAAAAAGAGAGTTATCAGTTACACTTATAATACAGGCGAAACACCGAACCCTAGGGTACACGTAATGTAATTGCAACCACATCTGCAATGCTACTGTTTACACTGATAATTTGGGATCTATCCTTGAGGATGTTGGTAATCCCAAAATCATATGACTGAGTTTTTGAATCAGAAAGTCATAGGGTACTAATGTTGAAAACCTTACTAAAGTCCAGAAACTGAGATACTGAAGTTAAATGATGTTGTGAATTTTTAATACGTGAGGTTATAGTATGTACATGAATTCTGAACCTAAATTTATTTCTTCAATCATGACCAAGCACCATGTTCATGCTGACATATTACTGCTGTATATTTGTCACCCTGGGTTGGTTGGCTGGCCTGGTTATTAGCCTAGCTGAAACCAAAAATATAATTGGGGAAATACAAGAACTCTTGCTTAATGACATTGCAATAACATCAAACAGGAATGAGTCCATACACTTTGTGTTATTTACTGTTATTTGTTGTCAGTTCACTAGTACTAGATCTTTCATGATAATAGATCACTTGCAGGCATCTATAGCATTATTTACACAGTTGTAGGTTCTAGTTAGGTTATTGGATATCATGGTGATTGAACATTACTGTATGTAATGTTTCATTTCTCAATTCTTGTATTTATAGACATGGAATGTATTGGCTGCTGTCATGCGACATCACACTCTGCAGGCCCTTGGTAGTCGCCACATGTCTCAAATACTAATGAAACAATTATCGACGAGAAACGTGGTTAAGTGCCTCTGTACGAGTTCTGGAGCCGGAAAAACAAAAGGAGAGCAATCCATCGCTGATCAACTCAAGAGCAAGTTTCCCAGTGCGAAAATAATTGATGTTAATGACATATCAGGTATAGTATTGCCAACCTTCACTAACATTGGGCTATTGATTGAAGATTGAGCAAATTGGTAATGAAAGATGTAACCTGTATATAGCTATCATCTTGTAAAGTGTTGTCCGCTGCAAGAGTAGTTCCATTGCTTTTACATACATGTGTTCTTCTACTTGTGTTCATATCTTTATCACACATCTCAGCCATTCCACCGGGACTCACGTGACATTTCTACAAAAATCCATCTTCTAATGGTCTGGCAGTCCTATATTCGCTTGCTACTACTTGTTTAAAAAAAAACATTTTAGCAAAGGTATCAGTTATGCATATTTTAGCATTAAAGTTATTGCAGCCACACTAATATTTTCTCAGATATCACAAGCTATTATGCATGACTTGCGTGACGGGCTACTAACACATGTTTTGAAGTATACTTCACACTTTAGACTTTTCGTAGAATACTATAAGGTTTATCTGAGTTATACCTGGTGAACTAGGTACCCAATACCCTTGATCACTCCATGCATTATTTACACTGCTATAAACCTGATCTGAAGTGAGCAACATCCTCCTAAGTATGTGACTCGCGTGACACTATTCTGTGACTCGCGTGACATAGTAGCTCATAGCGTTAACAAATGTTAGGGTAATCAGAATTTTGAAAACTAAAATGTTATGATACATGAAGTAAAAGTACATACCTAGTTACTACCTTGTGATTTATTGTGAAAACAGGGAAAATATTGTATGTTGGCAACCCATGCATAGCGTGGCGTATGTACCATTCTTCCTATATATACAAAGCTGATACTTACAATATTTCCCGTTTTCAGAATCTGTCAGTTCAGCTTTAACGGATTTTGCTCATTTCTGGTATGTGAATGAATAAGGACTGGCCCCAAAACATATCACACTGTTTTTTTATATTTTTTTAATAATATGCAAATTGGGTAGATTTTCGCAATTCCCCTATGCATTTCAGTGTCTGCCTACGGTCAACGATAACTCAAGAACCGTTTGACCCACACGTTTCAAATTGCATACAGTTGTTACTCCTATGGGAGAGGTTTGAACGTCTTATTTTGGAGCACGCCAGTTGACCTACTTTCGAGCGACGTCCACTTTTTGGCAAAAATGGAAATGGCCATAAGTCAGTTCAGGTTCCACGGATTTTGCTCAATTCTGGTATGTGAATGAATAAGGACTGGCCCCAAAACATATCACACGGGTTTTTATTTTATTTTTTAATTATGCAAATTAGGTAGATTTTGGCAATTTCACAATGCATTTCAGTGTCTGCCTACGGTCAACGCCATCAGATTGTATGCCAACAGATCTGAAACATTTATTTTCGCATCAAAAATTACTCATATGTCATCATTATCAAGAGTATATAATGGGAGATATGCTATATAATGGGAGTTCTCCCATATATATACTCTTGCTTTATATACCCCCCTCTTCTATCACACCCAAGGTAAGCTACAGTGTCATTGACACTTTCATTTATGAAATATGATGTATTGGCTACTTAATAAAGGCTGGCTTATTCATAACTAAAGCTTTAGATAATAGAAGATTTTTCTGATTCTGAGAAGCACTTTTAACCACCTTTGCCGTGATTAAGTTCCCCCCACATTCAAGAAGCTGTGATTATTTTAAAGGGCCTATTTACATGAAATTTTAGATTTAAAGAGGATCTGCAATATCTATTTTTATGCGATTATATCTAATAATTTTGGTATATATGTTGGGGAAAAATGTCTATATTTCACGATAGCATGCATAATTCATCTGTAACACGGTCAGGTGGCTCACTATTACATATTTCCAAAGATTGTGTTTGAAAACGGCGCGAATTTCCCAGCGGCGGATGTGACGTCATCTCCAAGACATGTCGGACACGATGAACGTAGAAAGTAATTCTAATATACCGCAGAGCGATTTTTTGACAGAATCAGCAAGTGAAAGTGATGATAATGAAGATATTGAGTTCTGTGAGACTGGTGAAGCTAGTATGACGTTGTATGACTTCCGGATCAAAAGCAATAACAGCCTGCCAGTGTCTATGATGAGCTGTGAAACCACTCGTTTGATGGATGCTGTGCGGGAGCCAGGGGTGCTACCAGATGTAGAAGGCTCCGGTGTTGAGGATGATGATGGAGGAAGCACGTGTATTGATGGAATCGCATCGTGTGCTAACCTCAGCCTATAAAGACGTTATGAATCCATCATTTACTTACTCTACTTCTGTAATACGGATTTAACACAAATTTATGTTATATAGATCTTTAATAATCCTAGCATAGCGTCTAATAGTTATACTAACAACAACGTGCATGATTCAGTAGTATACAGTATGTTACAGTATAGTACTATATTATATATATATATATCATAATATAAAATATAATATCACACACACGCACGCATGCACGCACGCACGCACGCACACACACACAGACACACACGCACGCACGCACACGCATATATATATATATATATATATATATATATATATATATATATATATTATATTGGTATAGTCCTTGGACTTTGAAGACTATTATTTACGAGGTTACACTAGTTCTATATTATGAAGAAACCCCCGGGATACACGGGTACAGATTCACTTTCCAACTAGTGCCTGTTCAGCTGGACGCCAGGGCTGGTGTGGCGTGTGCAGCTACGTATACGTACGGTGACGTATGGGACAGATACTATTACTTAGAGAGCACAAGATGACTTTCCAACATTTTATAGTCAGCGGCTATATGATCCAGGTATATCTACATCACAGAAAATTTTTGCTAACTGCTTCGCAAATCCTTGCTGAAAAGCCATGAAGTTAAGGAAACAGTTCTCCGTGAAATGCTTCATACACAGCACGCTTGTGTCGGATACCACCCACTTTAATCGCTTAGATTATACAAATGCGGTCCATTTCTTTCTCAGGGATTCGTCTTTCGGCCACTCATACAATTTACTACCTGTGTGCGAGCAATTGGCCGCAATACATCTGCATGGCATCGTAAAAATTATATAAATTTGACTCGAACTACAAACACGCTCGTTCACTTCTATAGTTAGCGAGGCGTAACTAGACGAGGTGGGTGCTGGAAATGACGTCAAATTCGGAAATTGCCTATGCTTGCCGAACGCGAGTGGCTTGTTGACAGTTGATGTTTTAAGGGCCATATTCTAAATAGGCGCGATTTTTCACGGGGGGGGGAAAAAATCGGAATGCCAGACAATTATTATACTCATGTTTATTTATCTATTATTTGTGGTTTTTAGAAAGATATTGCAGATCCTCTTTAAACCATTTCATTATTTCTCATATTCAATATTTCTCATTCATTAAACAATAATAATTCATGTCACTAGCTCTCACTTCAGTTTTCAACTTTGGTGTATACACTTAACCTGGAAGGGCTGATCTGTGCTCTGCAGGTGCACAGGGAATATTGATATTACAAGTGCTATCCAACCTGACAATCATATAATGACACTCAAATTAACCACTAGCTGTGAATTATCTGATGTGAAATTTGAATAAAATTGTTATCACTCGGCAGACTGACCCAGGCCTCATTTTCCATTTGATGATGTTAATTTATTGCTAAACTCTTCTAGGTGGTTGTGGTTCAATGTATGATATAATCATCGAGACTGCAGAGTTTAAAGGAATGTCAAAGGTCAACCAGCATCGGAAAGTCACAGAAGCATTAAGCGAACAAATAAAGGAGATGCATGGATTAAGAATACATACTGTAGTGGGAGAGTCATAGGGTGCATGCAGAAATAGGCTTTTTCATGGGTAGTGAAATTGATTGTAGTGGGCTTAACCAATTTTATAATTAGTGAACAATGTAAAGCATATTTGATGATTAGTTTTTCCATTTCTAATATATTTTGCTCAACTAAACAATCACATTGAAGTTTTGTTGTTGTTAATATTGTAAATTAATCAAGGTCCATAATTTGGATGTGGATGGGCAAATGTGGTACAGAAACTATTGTTATTTATCAGTAGGATAATATAGCCTGTTTGTAGAGCTAGTTGTTTTTGTAAGCTGCAAACTAAATATCACCATATCTGAGTGATTGCTAGTAGTCAATTCTGGTTACGCGTGTAATGTATGTAGTAATAACATAAGCAAGTTCTTATGTTACAGGAAGAACTTCATCCCTCCTTGCACGATAAAATATGATCTGTAGTTAAACCATAATAATGATGGGCCAAGGCCGCCTTAGTGTTTATAAATTCATTTGTGTGGCATGGTTTTTGTGCTCTTATGGTGAGGACAGCAAAACAACACAGTGTGATTGATTTAACTCTCACATGTTTTACTTTGCCCATGTCAAAATACTCCATATGTCATGATTCTGCATAATAATTATTCGGAGCATACGTCACGTGTGGTAAACCACCCAAAGCGGAGGAAGAGCTTGAATTCAAGCGAAAAACGGTACATCTACCATCATTATGGGGACATTCTGACTAAACAAGCTAGCGCCAGTCGGATCAATGCAGCAATATGCGGACAGATGGTACGAACGAAACGCGTGTATGGCTGGCGCCGGTGCATGGAGCAAAATCGTACATTTCCTTAACATTTGTTGTATGTATGACATTGTTAGACACCGGTAACGCCAACATCATGGAACTGGCCGTTTTGTAGAATGTAACAGTACGTACTGTTGTACGTACGTGCTGTGCTGTGCTCAAATAAAAGAACATTTTCCTGTGACTGCCTGTTTCTTCGTCTTATATAATATACGTGTACATTTTCCCTCATTACAGTAGTACCGGCATGCAAATGCAGGTTCTTCGAAGCACCGTTATACCTGGAGACGAATCACCGCATCTGGTGTCTAAGCGATGTAAGGCAGCTCGGTGCCTGTCTTTCGTATATGCTACTAAGATCGTTGTCAAGAATTGCCATGTATGACAGGCCACCAGAATGCATCATTCTACTGGGCGCGCGTATTTCGCCAAACCCGCGCAGTTGCGCTTCTAGTCTCTATAGAATGTTTCCGCTCTACAGAAAGACAACCGAAGTGACTGTGTACACGGATGAGGTGCGGTAGAGGCGGCCTTTTAACTCTAATGATCAAAGTATCAACGTGTCAACGTAAACCTGCTCAATGTCGAGGCGTGCTTACACAGCGGAACATACAGTGGCAATCCGGTTGCCGACAGATGGCGCTGCTAGTTTGTTTCCAAATTATATGGATCAGATTTGTTAGAAAAGGCTATCTGAAAAACGTAAACGTTTAGCAGATACGTGCCATCAACTCTATGCGTGGCGAGCCATCGACAGTGCGTTGCGAATATTCACGTTAATGTCGTAATTATTTCGTGAATGTCTATGCTCGCGAATTCTTTTTATTGTAACATATCCTGAATAATTAATGGTGCAATTCAACACTAATGCGGTTTCAACGACTAACAGCCTTACTTATACACATAGATACCTCAATAAGAAACACGTGCGTCGGCTGAAACAATGCCTGTGGGAAACGTTCGTTTTCCTCGTGACCAAAAGCACGCATTACGTCGAGAGGAGCTGTGTAATTACATCGCCGAGAACGCACCTTGTAAATATTTCAGTTTATTTACGACAGCATCGATTGCGAGCCGCGTCGATTTAACAGCTTGAAATGATATAGATTTTATCTTGATTTTATTCATGCCGAGAAACCTGACATGGACGCTTAACGCGCTAGGCTCTCATTGTATCAATGAATATGTTTTTAGACGCCCGCTGCATGCCACCGTCTATGATCTATGGAGCATGTTAATAAGACCGCGTACACTCTGAGATTGCGTGCTATTAATTAATGCCATCTCTGCAGGCGCGCAAATGTGCGCCACTGCCTGTTTCACGCAACCTCAGGAATGTCGTTTTACTAATTCCCTAATTTCCCTTAAACGTTATAATTTTGCTCAATAGGTGGCACTGTAATGTCATCGAGATTACTAATCGCGATGCCGTGGCTAGAATTGACGCATCGACACTTGTATACAAGTGTAATATAGAATAGCTCAGGCTATGGTAATCACGTGCGTAGTTTGTCTGAATTAAAATTATGGATGATCACTATACGCACGCTGTCATGTCAATGCGATTCATGTGGGCAATAAAATATAACAATGCTCCAGTTTAAGCGTTATTCGTCTTTTAATACGGTTCATTTATGCTATATGCTGCGCATACACCGAAATAATATAGGTAGACTAGGGTGTCTGGTAATATAGGGTGTCTATATATATTTCTATGTGCGCGTATAACATATGCGTGCGTAAATGTGTGTAGCGCATGTCCGTTGTGATGATCTGTCCCCTGTCGCGTCAAAGCTTTACCTGTTGGTGTGGCGACATGTCCCCTTCCGCGGTGGCCTATGCGGGCGTTTCCCGTGTACCCCCGGGATCACCCTAGCGAGTATCCAGAGAAAACCTATTTGCTCTTTAGTCTATGAAAACCTTGGCAGGTGTCTACGAGTAGAAGGCACTTATTGATTGGATCACCTTCCCGGGAATGCCATAGACCTGGAGTTTGAGGAGTTTCGCTTTGTTCTGTGCGCAGGAGTCGAATGCCCTCATATAGAATCAGTGAAAAGTATCACTGTAACCAGGTTCCCGTTTCTCACGCCCTCATGCATTTTCCTCCACGCGAACTTCCGCAGTATATGAATCGGTTGAAATTGATCCATGTGTAAAAAATCATGATCAGACAAAACTGTTACGGATGGGGGGCGCGTTACCCTTGCGCAGCTGAGAAATGGTTTCCTCATCCTACTAAATCTCATCGCCGTCGCGCCACCTCCTCCTCTTCCTCCTCCTCCTCCTCTATCACCACCACCACCTCCTCCTCCATCACCACCACCACTTCCTTATCCTCCTCCTCCGCCTCCTCCTCTTCCTCTTCCTCATGGTCCCCCTCCGCCACCACCACCAGCTCATCATCCTCCTCCTCCTCCTCCTCCTCTTCCTCCTCCTCCTCTTCCTCATGGTCCCCCCTCCGCCACCGCCACCAGCTCATCCTCCTCCTCCTCCTCCTTATCCTCCTCCTCCTCCTGCTCCTCCTCCTCATCATCATCATCATCATTCTCTTTGGTTACCTTTTCTTCTCTGCCCTTTCTATGCCGGCACACGTCGGAAGATGGGATGTCAACGACGATGAGGCGTGGCCTACATCTTGGGATTTGGCCAAGGTTAGTTTATTAAAGCTCTCTATCTGAATAGACAAGCTGGGGAGTAATACAGTAAAACTCGCATAAGTCGGCATCGTCTAACTCGTCAATTCGCATCAGTCGTCATGGAAGTCAAAAGTCCCGATTTTCTCTCATAGTAAACCCATTGGAATAGCCCTGCCTAAGTCGTCATTTATAAGTCGTCATTATGTACAAGTCGACGCCCTCAGACAGGTCCCATGTAATACAAACAACAGCTAATTTCCCATCTGTAAGTCGTCATCAGAAATGCCGATGGCGCGCGCGCGCAGTGTACGGTCTAGGGGATGTGCGAGCTGGCTGTCGCAGCTCGCATTTTTCAGCTCGCACATCCCCCAGATTCCCCAGTCTATGCAGCCCAATGCAGGGTGCGAAGTTAACGCGAGTCTGGAGTCAAATGCTTCCTTATTTACTGCCGGACTCCCTGATTTGACATAATAATGCAGGAGTCCGCGTGACTCCCTGAAAATTCTGCTATACTAACTGGTTCGTTCCAGAGCACAAAGTTTTTTTTTGCTGGTCCCAAAAGTGTCAAACTCACATGCCACCGCGCGCGTAAACGTGTACCCACGTACGTACACACGCATACACACACACGCATACACACACACGCACACACACACGCACACACACACACACACACACACACACACACACACACTATCTTTATATATATAGACAGCTAACGACTTGGCTCGTCGTGTTCTGTAACCAAGTATGCTAGCTGGCCTACCTATTCTTAATTAATCTGCCTAAACCTAATTTACTCAGGCTTAATCTACCTGAGAATAAAGCAAACACACACCCAAGTGCCCCACACACGCGCGCGCACGCGCACACACACACGCGCGCGTACACACACACACACACAACTCCAACAACAACATCAAACATAGAATAGAAAAACAGACATAGAAAAACAAACGCGTGCACGCACACGCACCCCTACGCGCGCGCACGTGCATGCACACACAATCGCGCGTGCACATGCACCGGTCAGTCTCTGCATTAAGCTTGAAAAGTATTGTTATCGGTAAAATCACTTGCAGATTCATGGGGATAAATGCTGCCATGTTCAATCGCTGTCGTCGCCTGCTTAAATTCGTATATTTTACTACATAGTCCATGAGCCAATACCAAAAAAATGACATGTCGGTACCATTTTGAGGGACAAAGGCTCACTATAATTTTTTGAAAGATCATCACCTTGGGCACATTTTTCAGTATGATGGACATTCCTAAGTGGTAGCCTTATACCTTTTTTGTGGGGAAATATGCTTTTTGGGGGTAAACTCATGTTTTTGAAATTTTTCTTATAAAAAGGGCATGAACAGCTAGAAAAAAAAATCAATTCTACCTTTTTTCATAATTTCTACCTTTTTTTCTAGCTGTTCATACCCTTTTTATAAGGAATATTTCAAAAACGAAATTTTACCCCCAAAAAGCATATTTTCCCACAAAAAAAGGTATAAAGCTACTACTTGGGAATGTTCATCATACTGAAAAATGTGCCCAAGGTGATGATCTTTAAAAAAAAATATAGTGAGCCTTTGTCCCTCAAAATGGTACCGACATGTGTATTGGCCCATGGACTAAAATAAGAAAACTAAGCATGGCGAAGCAATTTATCTCTGAACGATAGACGCGACGTATGGAATGATCGTTTACTTTTAACATAGCAACTATCAATTATTTTGGTAATTAGAAACTATCATGCTCTAATTGCAATTCGATTGAATATAAATTAAATAATATTCATAACAGTTGGGCTAACTAGACAGGTTCTATCATGTGCAACCGTAAAATTGTCCATTGTAGAAAACATCTGGACAGTTGCAGTAATTTCAGGCACACCCAGGGGCGCAAATCCAGGGGGGGACAGGGGGACATGTCCCCCCACGAATTTTTAGAGGGGGGACATCATATCAAATGTCCCCCCCACGATTTTGGATCACCATGATTTTGTGTGTAAGTATGCGTGTGTGTGTGTGTGCGCGCGGGTGTGTGCGCGCGCGCGTGTGTGTGTGTGTTGTGAAGTGAGAACCAGCGGCGCCGGAAGTGGGGGGCAGGGGGGGCAGCCGCCCCTCCAATTCAAAAAGTGGGGGGTCAAAACCAAAAAGCCCCCCCAAAAGAAGAGTGGGAAAGAAAAAATAAAATGTATGAGCT